ACGGACTTTATTTAATAAGGCTGTTGTGAGGACTGAATGAGGTTATACACATGAAGTGCCAAGAATGGGTCTTAACAGAGTGAGCACTACAGAGTGTTAGTTCTTACCATTCACTCATGTTCAGTGTTTCGCTGGTCTTCAGTCTAAGGGTGCATCTGTCTCCCCAGTCCCTTTTGTTTTCATTCTCTGAGGACCTAACACACAATTCTGCACATAAGAGTTGCTCAACAAGTATTCATTGAAATAACCTAGACAGTGTTGGGAGACAGCTGAATTTCCTTGTCAGTTGCCTGAGAAAAGAACAGTTATATGTCACTGTCGTATGTCATATGTTTTCTACTGTGTCCCTGGCCCCAGTGCTCAAAAAATATTTGTTATAAATGATTAACTAAATGAATGAATGAATTGTCAAATTTCTCCAAGTTTAACTTAGAAAACTCTTAAGTCACAAAGAAATAATATAATTTATTTTTAAACTAAAAATAATTTTTATTATTAGTAGTAATAGTATATATAATATATAATATAAAAATGTATTAAAATATATACACATACTAAATAGGCATATGTACTATATATATCTGGTAAGTATATATATAGTAAACCTATATACATATAATTTATATATATGTATATACTTTTGAAATTTTTAATAAAGATAAAACACACAATCCCATAATCTAAAATATCTATTTAGTGTATATATTTTTTTCAGATATTTTCCTGCACATCTATGTGTAGATTTTTTTAAAGTGTGTAGATTTTTAAAAAATAAAATCAGATCATACTGTACCCAATATTTTATAAGCTCTATGATTTTGTTCATTTAAAACTAGAGTGTGAATTAGATGTCTACTCTATAATGAACACCAAAAGTGGGTTAAAAAGGTCATCAGGGCCTTTTTTTTTTTTTCCTGTACATCTTCCCTTTCAGTTCCACTTTCTTAGCTCTATGATGCCTACTTTGAAATATTACAATCTAAAATGCAGTTTCCAAGGTTGGAGGGGACTGTCTGACTTATACTAGAACATGTTAGCCTTCCAGAAAATATGCTTAGTAACTTTGTTTTATCTACTACTTTGATTTTCCTTTTAAATTGATTCCTTAATATTTTACATGGATTTATAACTGAAATTCCCTATTGATTTTAGAACAAACACTGAAATTAAGGGCTTAATAACAGAGCATAAATGTGATACATACCTAGATAGATGTATTCAAGGAGATCAAAAGCATTTTTTTTCTATGCTGCAACTATACAGTTCAGCTGTATTGGGTAATTTCACCACTAGCTCTCTCTTCCTCTTAGTAAGTGTCAAGAGAGACCAAGGACGCTGTTGCTTCTTCCAAATTCCGTTTTTGTTTACAAGGGACTCTCAGTTTTAAAGGTCAGGGTAATGTCAAAATGGCTGAGCAAAGGGGCACAACAATTGATAGAAAAATGACCATGATGTAACCAAGAAGCCACCATTTCATTGTAAATAAGATAAAGTAGTAAAAAATGTGCTGAGTCAAAATAATAGTTTGGGCCATACTGATGAAATCCTCAAGTGGTAAGCCTTTCAGTGAGCACACACCTTGGCCTGGCCTTGCTCAGTCAGGTCTGGGAGAGCCTCAGATCTGGGCTGTGAACCAGGAAGTGTCAGGTTGTCAGTAAGCTATCTTTGCTTTCACAAATATTTACGAATCACCACCTCTCCTCTTCATTGCTATAGAAATGAAAAAAACAAAGGAGAAAACAATTAAAAAAGGAACATGAATTTCAGTTCCAGGTTTATGAAATGTGATAGATAAGGAATTATAATTATAATTAAGGGAACTTTTTTGTTTTATTTAAAAACAGTAGGATTTCTTTTGCTCTCCTGATCCTCTCAAACAGCATAGCAAGTAAATATTTAACAAAAGCTCAAGGTAAAAGGAATGACTTCAGTAGAATCTATAAGTGAAATGTACATAAATATCCAGTTTACTTCACAAGTTTAGTTGAATTTTAAGTCTGCAGGCTAAGAGCATGGAAGGTGAGGGAAAAGTAATAATATATATCATATTAAGGCTTATTGAAGTAATTTAGTTATGATAGAGATGAATAATAATATTTAATGAAATGGCAAAGATAAGTAACCCTGCAGAAATGGACAATTTCTATAAGGTCCCTACTTAGTGTACCTTTAAACTATACCTTTAAACAAACAAACAAAAATTACAATGTATATACTGATCAGAGTGTTCTCCTAAGAGTTTGAATAGTTGTGTCATGTTTTGTTGGTCCAACAGTTAATATTATGCTCAAGTCAGAGATATTTCATTCTTCCAAAGGTTTTGTAAAATGAGTGTTTGTTTAGTAATGCCTCTATAGCTACTGGTAGAAAGGTTCATTTTTGTGACATTAAATCTTATTTACTTAGAGTTTGTCTTCTAAATGTGTAATGTCTAAAGAGAATGACAATCTGAAAGGACAGTGCTGCTTCAGCTGGTCAGTTTCATTTCTCTCTCTCTTAAATCTGTCTTTGGCTTATGCAATACCAACAGAATAGAGTGATTTCTAAAGTATTTATTTACTTTGTAAAGGTACTAATTTTCCAACAGACTTTTCATATATCAGGTCCTTGGGAATCAAACCTTATCTGTCTCTCTTTTTTCCTTCTCCCTGCCCTCTCTTGTTTGGTAAAACTTGTAAATTGTTTCATTGACCTTGAACATTGTGTTCACATCCTTTGAAGGAAGACGGGTATGAAATGTTTTTCAAATTACTGTATTACAAAAGAAAGAGTGCCTGAGACCATGTTTTGGGTAATAATACTTCTCAGGCTTCCTATTTGGCAATGCACAGATAACCAGAATATTACAGCTAGGTGGAAAGACTTTTAATGATACCTTCAAAACCCTGATTTACTAGAATTAGAGGAGATTTAACATAGTTCTGCTCTGAACCCAGACAAAATATTATCAAATGATTTTTTCTTGATATAAATATAATATAGAAGGTCAATGCAAAAATTTGTGGAAAATAACAACTACTTCTGTGCATTCTTATCTAGCTTAAAATATAAAACATTATCCTGGTCTATATATAGTTTAGTTTTGTATGTTTTTTCAAGTTGATATAAATGGGAGTCGTGATAATAATTCCACCAGCAGTGTTTACGTTCTGATTGTTCCACATACTTGTCAACATTCGATACTGATGGACTTTAAAATTTTGCTTTTCTGGTGTTTGGAAATGGTATTTTGTGATTTTAATTAGCATTTCCTTGATAACTAACAAGATTGAATATCTTTCTGTATTCTTTTATGATACATTCTTGTTTCCTTTTCAGTGATGCCTATTTTTCTTTTGGGTTATTTGTATTCTTCTTAAAATATACAGAAATTTTTCATGTATTTTGGATTATAATTCTTTGTCAGTTATGCTTTGCAAATAGCTTTTCTCGGTCAAGCTTAACATTTTCACATCCTTTGTCATATATATTTTGGAGGTCTTATCTACAATCTGCAAGTGAATAAACTTAAGTGTATAGAATTATATACATACAGACCCATATAGCCATCACCTAAATCAGTATATAAAGTGTAGTACTCCAAGACTACAGTTAACCTCCATTAAAAATAAATAAATAAATCTAATTACCTCCCCCAGCCAAAAAAACCAAAGAATTCAAAAAGAAAAAAAAAGAAGTGCTAGTGTCTTTTGCTCATTTTTGGAGGGAGATTGTCAGTCTATCTGATTTTGATTTGTATTTCTTTATGTATTATGGATTCAAGTCCATTGTCAGACATATGTAATAGCTACTTTTGGTATGACTTACCCTTTCCTCTCTACATGTTGTCTTTTGATAAACAGAAGTTCTTAAGTTTTAATGAAGTCCAATTAAAGAAAAATTTTTGATGGTAAATGTTTTTTAATGAAACCCTTTAGAAAATATTCCAAGTTGTAATCTCCCAGCCTCTCCCTAGAAGTAACCACTATCCTGATTTTTTAAATAATCAGATATTTATTTTTCTTTCAGTTTCCATACTAAGATATGCCATCCTAAATGATGTAGTTTTGCCTGCTTTTGAACTTTATATGAATGGAATCTTTATGCATTGTTCTGTCATGTTTCTTTTAGTTGATGTTATGTTTTTGTGATTCATCCATGTTGTTTTATCTTTTTAAAAAAAAATTAGATTTTTCTAATTTTTTTTTTCCCCAGAAGCTTAGACGTTTAATTGATTTGCCTGTTTATTTTGTGTAGCAACTTTACTGAACTTTCTAACTATAGTTTATCTGTAAATTCTTTTGGATTTTTTTTTCTATAGATGATTGTATCATCAGCAAATTATGAAAGTCTAGTTTTTCCATTACAATCCTTATACCTTGTATATGCAGTCAACATTTTCATTCATTTCTGCTTTATTGTGCTGGCTAGGACTTCCAGAACAATGTTAAATAGGTCTAAGAGTAGTAAATATGCGTATTTGTTTCTAGTTTTAAAAGAATCTCCATTGCTTATGATGTTTATTATATTTTTTGTAGATATATTTTAGTAGGATAAGGTTTCCCTTTTTCCATTTTGATATGACCATTTAAACAAATCATGAATGGAATGAACTTACTCAAGTGCTTTTTCTGCATTTATTGAGATAGTCATATAGTTTTTCCCTTTAATCTGTTAATGTGGTAAATAAAATTACGTTTTCAAACATTAAACTATTTTTTTCCTGTGGTAAACCTAACTTGAACTTTATATAGTACCTTTTATATTCATTGTCAAAAGTAGATTTATAGTGAAGCTAAGAAAATTGAATCTTCAGGACCCCACCCTTGTCCAAGTATATATGTGTATTTCTGCTCCCAAATGATTCCATTTTAATTTTATTCTAGGATTGTAAGATTGTTTAAATGTCATTTAGGGCAAGATTTATCTTTTTTCTTCCCCAAAAATTTTCTTGGAGGTTTGATTACATTTTCACTTTTAGATATAGTTTTAAGTCAACTGATTCAACTTTTTTTTTTAAGATCCTCTGGGCTTTTGATTGAGTTTATATTAAATTTATGGTTGAATCTGGGAAGAACTGACATCTATACAATCTGGCCATGGTGGACTAAAAGGGACCGGACTTACCCCTTGCCTTAGACAACTAAAAGCAGGACAAAATATATAAAACAATGATTTTCAGACATTAGACAACAGACAGTGCAGAACTGTGACCCTTAAGAGAGGGAAATAAATGAGGAAGGGCCTGCAAATGCCCCAGTTTGCTACCTGTAGAGAATTTCAGGTGACAAGGCAGTGGGGGGAGAACCCAGACAGAGCCTGATGGGTGGACTAGCTAAATATCTCAGAATTCAGGGATTCCAAGGCCGCTAGAATTCACAAGGCAGAGTACCAGAGGAAAGAACTGAAGAGAGCTCTGGAGTTCCACAGAGGGTTCTCCTCAAATCTGCTGCTGAGTAATGATCGGCATGCACGTGTGAGGAAAGCTGCCTAAGGACAGGGAAGGAACTTCATGAAAATATCAAGCAAACAATGCCTAAACCTCATACAGGGCTGAGGACAGTTTGTGTTCTCGCCGTCCTGTGAGGAAAGGCCTAACACACAGGGTATCAAGGGGAATACTCACAAGGAGTACTCGGTGGTAGGACAAATTAGTCCTATACCACCAAGCTGTTCTGGTCCTACCTGAAAAGCAAGCATCAAAAGACTCTTTCCAAGTAACTTAACCATGTCCCAGAGCAATACTGAGAATATTTATAAGAATACAAAAGCATCCAGGACTCAGCAAAGCAAAATTCACAAATCAGGCACCGATTTAAAAATTAACAGGCGTAACAAAAAAGCAAGAAAATGCAACTCATAATTGGAAAAAAACAATCAATTGAAATTAATCCAGAAATGACATAGATGAAAAATTAGTAGAAAGCACATTGAAATGCTATTGAAAATATACTCCATATATTCAATAAGGTAGGAAAGCATGAACTTTATAAAAAGAGAAAAGATATTCTAAAAATCACAAATCAAGCTTTAGAGATGAAAATAGTGGCTAGGGTTAACAGCATGTTAGAAATTGCAGAGCAAAAGACTAGGGAACTTGAAGATACTGCCATAAAAACTATCCAAACTGAAACAAAGTGAAGATAAAGCATTAATGGGGGCAGAGGTGGAACAATTTATAGAGGCGAAATGTATGTCTAATTAGAGTCCCAGAAGGAGAAGTGGACCAAGTGGGGTCCAAAAAAAGGTGCCCGGAGAACAATGTCTGGACGCCCTGCCCAGCCGATGA